TAACATATGAAAATTATGGTTATCTAAGTACTAATAAAATGTTTATAACTGAACAGGGAAGTATACTTTCTCAAACTATGCAATTATTGTCTGCACTAAAAGGCACTCTCAACAAATGTTTTAGAGTCTCACTGCAATTTTTACATTGCTTTTCAGTATCACCTATGAGATATTTCTTCCATTTAAATTAAATGTCATGTTGAATATTATCTTGCATGCAGAGATTAAAGGAGTTTATGTAATGCCTTTAATGGAAAATAGCATCATCAGCTCACGAGTCAAAATCCAGCTTTTAAATGAAGATATTTTTTGAAGAAAAAAAGAGAGAAAAGGAACATTATGGGAAGGTGAATACAAGACCATGATTCTTCCCCAAACACACAGGGAAAAGGAGATACTCCGTTTTCTCTGTGACCCCTAATGGAAACATAGGGAAACCTTGCAGAACATTGTAGAACCAAAACAAAGATATCATTCTAAGATGAGAGCACCTCCAACCCCTACTCTGGATCTTTCAAATGTCATGGAGTGAAGAATTCTGCCAGCATTAGCCACACCACAGAGTATTTGTCCATCACCCCATACTCAGTGTAAATACTCCTTGGGACTAAGTCATGCTAGAAACAGGTCTGTATATAACCTTGACCATCATGGATCTTGCAGTACTATGGATGGCATAAAAAAATACTACAGGACTACAATTCTGTGAATTATAGATGTAAAAGAGACACAGGAGAGGAAAAAAAAAAAAGTATCCTGGAAGATTATGACAATATCTTACATTGTGTAATGAGATCTTTCCCTTACACAGTTCATGTTCGCATTCCACTTCAAACAGTGGAACTATCACACACTTAACTAAACAGAGGATGGGAAAGATGTATCTCTGTTCAACAAGCCTTCAATAATCAAAAAGAGTAACACAGCTATAAAGATAATGAAGATAAACAAGTTAGTATATTCTGTGCCCACTGCTTGTCATATGAAAGAGCACTGGTATTGCATTTAAAGGGTTCTGGACAAATTCTGAAGAACTCACGGAAGATACAGAAAAACTTTTAAGATTAATGACAAAATGAATATGAATTAGTGTTTTGAGCAACTCTGGAAAAGAATTGCTTTCAGTGTGCAATCACTCAGTTTTTTAGAACACCATGCAATAACGTCTGGACTTACGCTTTTCTTCCAAGACTGTGTCAAGTGAGTACATGGGAATGCTCTCCAAGATAAAGAGGAAATTGTCTGATCCAGTGAAGTTTATTAAGGATGCAAGGGAAGGTTGCAGGCAGGACAGTTCAATAGTTACTGTTCTTTTATTTGGCATCTTTGTGTGATTTTCCTGTGATGAGACCCTCAAGTGTTGTGGCTTTGATGGCAAAAATTAATTCCCCAGCTTGCAAAAAGGAGTCACTGGTGCCAAAAACCCCGAGTGACCTGCTACACCTTTGCAGCTGATGGCAGGCTGCCACCTTCCATGGGAGTAAAATGGTGTTGGCGTGTGAAACTGCACAATTCAATCCTTTTATATGGTGACCTCATACAAACGAATAAGCTGTCATTACAGGAAGAAAAACTGCTGTGGAAGAATGAATCCTGTGTTTAATAGAATGTGCTCTTTTACAGAAATGTTCTCTGCTTAGTATTTTCAAATGCTTCTCTTTTCCTATATCCCCTGCCCGTTCCTTCTTGGCACCCATGACCAGCTACTCTGGCTCTGCTCACAGTCTTGCCATTGTTGGTGTAAGTGCCCTCTCCTAAGGAGAAAATGCCACCTGAAAGGGACTTCTTGTGCTCTTCTGACTGATCAACCTCTGATTTGCCTTCAAATAGCTGATCAAAACTTCTTCACTCCTTTCCTTTTGTCTTTTAGTTGCATTCTTCACTGTCTTCTATGAAAGAATAATTCATATAACAAATTGCTAGAGTATTCTGAGATTCTGAATTTCATCTTTATTATGCCTAACTGTAATAGGCTGCTGGATAATTTTTACAGCATTTAGCCTGCTGCATCCCTATGCCAATTTTAACACGTGTGAGATTTTCAGTGAGGGCTGGGCGCTGCTCAGCAGGAGATAAAAAATCCAAAGATCAGACATTAGCAAAAACAATCCATTTTCTTGAACTGCATTTTATTGTCTGCTGCACCACCTGAGCACCAGGCACAGGGAATAAAGGTGAAGAATGAGAAGCACTACTGACAGCAGATGTAGTGCCTGCCTTGCAGTCAGCAATGATTTTGTTTGAAAGTCCTTTAAGTTACAGAAGAGCTTTTGCAGACCTCAGTGGTCTGAGAGAATTGCTACAAACAAGGAATAAGCAGGGATTTTTTTTTTTTTTTTTTTAGCAAAAAGGGGATAAAATAGCTATTAAATGCTGAGTGACAATTTAATGCTCATTAGTAATACAGGTAAATTATTTTTCTTCTCTCAGCTCCCAGAGCTGAATCTTCAACAACTACATTACAATTCAAATTCAATGCTATCAGTAAATAAGCAAAATTGTGACATATTATTCATTCTGTGTTTCTGTATGTTCAAGTGCATGTTACAAATTAACATTTAACAAATTAGTCATTGAATTGTATTTGCTTTTTCCTCAGTGCCTGTCAGGTGTATGAAATACAAACAGTTTTCTTAACTTTCACATTTTTACATCCTTTCTCCAGGGTTTGAAGGACTACTGAGACAGTTTTCTTTCTTCAGCCCAAATAATTTGCTAGGCTGATGCGAGGCATTTGGTAATGACAAAGAACTGCAATTTTTCAGGTTTCTAATCCCAGTCTTGCACCTGGACTTAAAAAATTCATATTTACTAATTTGACAAGAGGTTGCAAGGAAAAGAAAATTTAGGTTGAGTCCTGGCAGGATTTTTTGCCTGCACCTTGTGTCCAAGCTGGCATGTTTCCCTGTGATTGCACATGATGGAACTACCTCCCTGCTTTCCACAAAGAAGGAACCAGATGTTAAACTTGGTCATTCTCAGAGAGAGGAGAACTGACCACTACACACAACTGTAACACAAATACATTGCAGAAGAGTGCTCTGCCTTACTGACTTTGAACTCTTCACACAAAATGTTCCTCAAGACATTCTTATTCAGTGGAGAGCTCAAGCAAACCATATGCATATTACAAGGATTCCAATAGACAGACACAGGAATAAAGTGCTCTGCTGAATCATGGTCTAAACACAAAAGTACTCACTATTAAATACTACATGTAGATGGAGAAACAGATAAAAGACACTGATAAACAGTTGGCTAACATTCCATGCCGTAGTTTAAAACACTTCACAAAGCAGTAAAGTAGACAATACATCTAATTTTTGTTCAACTCAGAAAAAGCCATAGTACCAGAAGTTTGAAAGCACATTCTCAGGTGGACTGTTTTCAAACACCTGTATTTTGGCTTGTTTCCAAATACAGTTTATGTATTATGGAGTGAGGAATCTATCAAAGCCCTGAAAAATAACTAATAAAGAGGGGAAATCTTCATTTTATCTATTATCCTTTTTGAGAGAAGGTCAGAGAGCTGCTTAGCACTTTACTGTTTTATATACTTATCTTCACTCTCTCAGCTTGGGAGCCCAAAGCTTTTGGAGGCTGATGCCCTAGTAGGATAGGTTAGATCAGCAACAGTCTTCTCCCCTAAATAGATAATGGTTAGCAATGGGAATCAAACTATCTTCTTCCCCTCAAGTGTGATAGCTACCTAAAAGCTCTCAATCTATAGCTAACAAGAGGAAACACAGATTGTACAATGAATAAATTGCTCTAATCATTCAACCACCTTTCTCAGAGATTAATAAATTATTTTACTGAAAAACTAGTTTGTGAATAAGGATGAGAGAAAAGTATGGGAAAAGAGTGCAGTTAAAATTTTCAGCAATACCTGTAGCAGAGTTCTCTTTTCAGTGCATAAATATTCTTCATTTTACCAGTCATGTAAATATTTTTTTAAAATATTATTACCTCTAAAGATGTTTGAGATAACATACACAACCAGTGCAGTTCTGACAGTGCCAGCAGAACACATAACTACTTACTCACTCAGGAATATCCTCAGGATGAAATAGCCTAGAAGGGAAAGCTGCTCTAACTGCATAGACCCACAGAGTGGTATATGCTGAGGGTGAGGATAATGAAGCACTAGCAAGGCAGTATCACTGCACAGTTCTGACAAATAAGCAATAGCAGACCTTGATCTCAGTTTACCTTTACATGCAAGGCTGAAAGATGCCACTACAGGCCCCGATTTATGGGCACAGCACGTGTCCCTGATTACCAGTATCTCAGAGAGGGCAAGAGGAGACAGCTGGTGCTGGTAACAGCTTCACTCATTCAATTTTAATTGACTCCTGTGTGTTTGTCTGAAGGCTCAGGGCTGCCTTCCTTGCTTCAACTTGTGCCAAAAGCTGAACTGATTGCATTAACCACATGGAAAAAGCAAGCAAGAATTACTGATCAGCTACAGGTACAGAACAAAGTCCACATTGCTGTTTGAATTACCTTTTAGATACAATGTGCACTGAATTTCAAGATCACAGACCAACGATCACAGTTCAAGCTGCAAACCCAGTGAAATTAAACTCTATTCACACAATTATACATTAAAGAAGGATTTAATAAAGTTGCTTAATTTTCATATTTTGTGTTTGTATTTAGTGTCCAAACATCACTCTTTGAAAATCCCTAAGGAAATGCCCACATGCTTTACTGAAATGGAGACTATGCCACTGTTTACTGAACAACTACTGATACAGTGGTTTAATTGATTTGCAAACAATAAAAATATTCAAAAGAAAACAAAAATTACTGACAATATTTTAATGCCTTTCTTATATTCTCTAATAGTAACAAATTACTTATGTGAAAGCTTGAGTAAAATGGGTCCAGACACATATACATTATTTCTCTTGTACTTTTAAAGTACATATAAATAATTACTGATGATAGATGGCAGACAGCATCACTTCTAAAAAAAAAGGGTTTATGTATCTTACCTCTGCTTTTATTTTATTGTCTCCGAAACAGAGATGTTGTAAGTAGGCTGCAGCATTGGACTGTACTGAGGGAAACTGATGTTGTAACATCTGTATAACTTCTGGAAGCTCTGGATCTCGCCATCCGAACTCTCTGTGAGAAAACCAACAAGAAAGATTCATTAAAAATTCTGCTACTAGTGGATAAATTTGACAATGGTTGGGTCAACAGTGAAGGCAGACGTCTGAAGTCTTTATTTCCCCCCCCCATTACTTTCAAAGCAAACATTAAATCAAATATGACGGTACTTTTCATTTTAGAGCTTACTTCTCTGCAAGAAAAAAAAAAAAAGTTTAAATAAAGTATAATTAGAGTAAATAACGGTATGGAATTAGGTCTCTAAGTGCAAAAGTTTCCTACATCAGAAGGTTATGTGAAAACTTAATATAAGAAAAGAATTAAAATACACACTCATACCATTGTACTTTCTCTATTGAAATTAAAACATGGAGACTGGAAGCAGAATCACAAATAGTTTGCTATGAAAAAATTCAGTCTTCACACTTTTCTTTAATCCAACAAAGCATGAAACACCAGTAGCATCAAATGAAATAACTGACTCCAGGTGTGTTAAACAAATCCCAGCAGCCATTCTGCAGCTTCTAGAACTCAACTTAAAATCAGTCTGTCACTTCAGGTAAATGTTTCCCATCTGTGTTTAAGGGTAAAATCAATCAAGAAAATGGCATTGGACTTTGTACCTCAAAAGCCAGAGATGCACACACCACTCTGCATGAGATGCTTAATTTTCACATGCCTTTTCCCTAAGAGCTAATTTTTCATGCCGGACACATATTTTCACCATCTTCCATATAATACATCATATGCAAGACAATAGAGGGAAATGAGAAGAAAGAGGTGACTTGTGAAAAATTTCTAGGTTTTCTGTTATAGTTACCATGACCACCTGGGAGTTCACTGCCAATAGACCCAAAAAATCTGTAGAGTCCAGTGTACATTGCTGGGGAAATTCACCTGTGTTTGAGTAACCCTTACAGTCTGTCTGAATTAAAATTGGGCATCTCACACTTAAAGTACAACAGTTTGCCAGGTCATTTCATTGAAACAAGACTGATGTTACAATAATAATGAAATACTACAAAACAAAGGTATTGTCTGTTCCTTTCTCATATGGGATGTTTGCCAGATTCAAAGTTGTCTTTAGAATTTTACCATTATGAAGATCCAGAATATAAACAGGAGTTGTAAAAAATGCATCCAGAATTTCAACTATTTATCTTCTGACAAAAAAAAGATGTTAACTCATGAATATTAAATTTCACATTAAGTGTTTAATACAAAGAAACAATTAAGTTGTAATAATAAATCACATATGGACTATTTCAATGACTCTTCAGATGATATAGACTGTTGAGAAGCAAATGTTTTTGCTCTTTTGCATATGTTCAGAAAGATCTGAACTGAGATTTTGAACAGTCAGACAACATTGTAAAAGGTATCAGGGAAGGCTGGAAACTTCAGCAGCTGAAGGTGGCAAACATCATGTTTTCTGTGCATACCAGCTTAATATGACTTCGTCGGCAGGTGAAAAGGAAGTGATTCTTTGGCTCAACACTTATTTCTGTTTAATAACAGGTAGTACAAACCCATTAACAAATAATAAATGCACAGAGGTGACAGAAACAATATTTGATAAACCACTTCCCTCTTGTATTTGCTTTCTTACTGTTAGCCATGTTAACACTTGTTAACAGGATCTTCAAACATATTAGACCTGCTTCCTATACACATGGCTTTCAACCAACCAAAGATATCTTCCAGAACTATTTTTTAAAAAAATAAACATAAATAATTAAACCCCAAACCCCACAAATCTTACTAAGGACAAATTAACTACCCTAGCTCCAGTTCTAATCATTGTCATTTTCAATCCTACATGCCAAGTGTATTTTGGAGAGGATAAAAAACACTGGAAGAAAACAGCTTGCATGAAAAGACTACAGGGCAACATTTGAAATAAGTTGTTTCACACCATATAACTACACCTCCAAGTGTTGGAAATTATATCACCAAATTCTCTCCCAGAAAAAATTTCCTTTTTCATAAAATGTGTATTACTTGAACAGAAAGCAATCAAAAAGCTCACTATGTGCAGTAGTACATGATGAAGGCTGACAACCAGCTCAGGTTCTTCCTCTTATCCTGGAATCCAGAGCAGAAGAGGCAAGGAAAGGGTAAAAAGAAAAAGTGCCTTCAACAAAGGTATAGTAACTGTTCCGATGAACCTGCCATCTTGACGTGGTATTTACATATGAAAACAAGGCTGTGCCTCCTTTTCCCCTCTGATCTCCCAAAGGAAAAGCTAGCAAATAAGTGATATATGAATACTTGTTGGAACTGGTTGTGTGCACACTGGATGTAAGTAGAAAATTAATTCAGAAAATACATCTTCAGCACTGAATACTGAGTTTGTCATGTCATCAGTTTCATGAGAGATAATGAACTAAGCAGGAAAAAAATGTTAAAACACTTAGCCCCAGTATGCACTGTCATTTCAAGCAGATGGTCTTTAAGATGATTATATTTTTAGTAGTTTCTAAATGAAACTATATAAACCAAACAAAAACTTCTGTTAAGGCTGCTTGAGTAATTGCAATAATTTTAGCAGCCTTCAGGCCAAGAAGGAATAGTTTCCAGAGGTTTAAATTTTTAATTTGTTTTATACAAGTCTCTTATAGGTGGGGAAAAAAGTGAGCTAGAGAGATGATTTTTAATTATTATTTTCTTTAAGAACAGCAAGCTTGTGGTCCAATTAACAACACTTACTTGAGAAAAATATTTATGGGTTTTTTTTGTTGTTGTTGTTTTGTTTTGTTTTAATTTGCCTTAATTATAAAACCTTGAGAAAGTTACTGAATTAAATCAACTGGCAAAGGTTGTGAGAAAGGGATAGGGCCAGAGTTTCTTGAAGACAAATGTACAAAGCTATCTGGAATATCTTGCAGGGATGTGGAGAAACTGTCAGGCCACAGATCCAAACATACCTTCATGACAAAAAATACATATTATATTAGAGATAAACAACAAGTAAAAGAAAAAAAACAACTAGTTGGGAAGATATGTTGCAGAAGTCAAGAGCTGGAACAAACTGGGCTGCAGACATTTAAAGGTAATTGAAATTAGATAGCAAAATAACTTTTACTGCCTAACAAGAAAAAAAACAATACGAGGGTCAGTACATGATGAAGATAAGGGTCAGATTAAAGGAAGGGAGAAGCACAGTGAAAATAAAATCTATCTCCATTTCTGTGAAACCTCTGATAATGTGCCACAAGGGAAGTGGTTAAAGTGGCAACATAAAAGGATCCAATCCTATGTAAAATTCTAAAGGAAAATTAAGCAAAATTTGAAACCGCAGTGAATATCCTAAACAAACTCTAGCTAAGCCTATGTCCTTTAACATCCCCATATACATATAACCTGAGTGAGGTGATCCACACAGATAGTGAAACAAGCCAGAAGGCTGCAGTAAATCTAAGGAGGTGTGTGGCATGCAATTTTGGAGAATGCTAACAGAGTCTGTGTAGTTGATCCAAACATTAATAGAAAGCTAGCATCTGTATATTCAAGACCTTCTGCTATTGCCTACATTTCCCTTGGAATGCCAAGACTAAGCTGCTCGGGTCAGCTAAAGGCTTCTGGTGGTGGTGAGGGTTTTTCTACAAGAAAACAGCTGTGCAAGAACTTCACAGCTTTGGCTGGAAAGCAGCTTATGCAGTGCATTCCAAGTATTTCAGTAGGTTGAAAAAATGCATTCTTTCTATGAAGCATCCTCATCTGAGGAGACTGACCAAAGTGTGTTAAGGTGTTCCATGTTCTTTGATGGAAACTGTGCTCTAGGAATGTAGGATTTATCTCATTCTGAATCCTGCCAAAGGTTTTAGCTTGAAGTGGTGATTAAGACAGGTGTTCCCTGGATTACAGCAGGCTGCTGTTCCAGTGTGGAAGAGGACCCAAAGGAGAACACTGAGTTATATGTAAGCTGGCAAGGTGTACACCTAGACTACCACACTAGGATACTTTTCATCTGTGCACAACTGAAGAGAATTAACAAGGAGCTGTACATGAGATACAACCCTGAAAGTGAGAAGCAGAAGCAGCCGCACCAAGAAAGCCAGGCTGACTTGGGTACAGCAAGTACTGACTCAAAACCAATTCCTGCTCCTGCTGTCATATCACATACATGTCAGAAAGCAAAGGAGATGCAAACTTGATTGTCAGTAACACAGCTGAGTGAACTGGCTACATGAGATTACTTAAAGGTGCTGTTGCACACAAATTATGTAATGCATCTGAATATTTACTTGAATTATGTCAGAATTCTCTTTTTCTGCTACTTCAAATGCTGATGACACACAGAAAGGCAAAACCAAAAATTCCTGTTACATCTATATCTGCACTCAATTAAAAAAGGCTACAAAGTAGGTTTTAAAAGCACAGGTCTTCAGTTGGTAACTGAGGATACAGATCACTTCAACAGAGCATCGCAGAAGCAGGTGTGATGGCTCTGTCTACTCTCCATCCACTGGTCACTGTGAGTCTCATGAGAGCTTGGGTTCTTATTTCTGATTTACATTATTAGAGCAGAACACTCCCATCTGATCAAGCAGTTGGCACAGGCAAGCACTGACACCCAGAGCTATTCCTGTCTCAGCAGCATTCCCCAAAGGCAGCACTGTGAAGATGCCTGCTATAAAGAACCATATGCTTGACTAAGACTGAACTACCACCAAGCATTTATCAAGGAAAGAGAATGCACAGTTTTTAGATACATTTCTTACAGAAGTGTATGGTTAAACCAGACTGGTCTGTGTGTGCTTGCCTGTCTTAATATGCATGTGTATCTGTGAGACAGTCTTAGACTGGTGAAGGAGAGGTTTTCATACATCAAGAGATAATCAAAGGCAAAGACAACACATTTTGAGCTAGGGGTAATCTTTCCTAGATTTCTAATTCATATACATTGTGGCATGGCTAATGCTAGCCTACACGAGTTTTTCCTGCACTTCTGCCTGCAGAGATATATTCTTCCTTTCAGTTTTCCCCCCTCTCATTCCGAAAAATCAGTAAAT